CAACTTGTACTTGTTGTTCGAAGGAAGTGAACGTCATTTACAGCCGCGTGTTGTGATCGAACAGATGAGCGCATTGAGACTCTACGCGACGCTCTCATCTCTAGTTCGTGCATTGGGCGTACACCCATGGACGACCCGTGGCTGTTTGATACGTACTGACCCGCCCCAGAAGATTTGCTGCCCTCATGGATGATGGTACTACTGAAAGCGCCATAGGTTTGCATCTAGATAGTTCAGTGTGTGAAAAAACGCGTTAATAAAAAGCCCGGTGGCCCGAGAGGGCTTACAGAGAGTATGGAGCACAGCTTTTTCCGCAACAGCCTCGGTGGATGGACCAGTTCCGTAACTTACTCTTCTCTGTACTGTGGCACGCTGAACTCCCGCATTCGTGCGTCGAGCTTGTCATCGCCGAGAAGTGTTGGACGCAGCGGGACCAGTTTACCAATGCTCCAGTTGGCCACGTTGTGGTGACCGCCACCTCATTCGTAGAGCAACATGAAAAGCGCGTCCAAAATCACCCACAGTGAGGCGGCAAGGCCCCCTCTAGCTAGGAAGCCTGCTAGGGCAGTCAGTTGTGTGTGGTGATCTGGTATATCTGTTATTGGGTGATCGTGATAAGCACGTGGCACGGGATCTTACCTGCGTCGTATCCTGTAGAGGGTGGTTGGTGCAACATTAGGAAGTTTCTCTGCGTTTCAGTGCGCGCAGTTCATCGTCGCTCGCAGTTAGCGGAGCTGCTACCAAGGTTGCTGATGGGACCTCGAGCTATTGTACCCCCCTATCATCACCACAGGACGTGATTCAGATGTCGAAGATGTGGAAAGACGCGGCCACCTTGACTGCGAGGCTCACACCCCCAGGCTCCGACCCAGATACCGGTCTGTGTCTCATCCGTCCGGAGAAGATCTGCCCACAGGCATGGTATGACAGCACTAGATTTAAGCGGACATCCCTCAGTACTCCTGTGAAGCTGCTTCCTCCTCCCATTACATCGTGTGATGATGCCTATGCTGGCGAAGGACGATGCTACTGCCCTGCTGCCTGACGGTCCCGCGCGTCAGAGGCATGCCCCAAGTACCTGGAAGAGTACTCGACGCGTAGTGCATGCGTCGATTCGTTGTGTGAAGTTGCAGTGTAGGAGTGGCCGCTAGCGTAGTTAAGCGGGAGCCGAAATAATGCTCTGCTTGGGCGATCGTGTTGAAAGCGGCAGTCGGGGCCGAAGGGTAGTGAATCTGACCAATACGCTTACATCGTATTCCAGTAAGTGCCCACGTTACTTTCTTATGCCTCTATGCATGTTACGTGTTAGCAGTAGAATTCAATGTAGTGCAGTTCGGCTAGATCGTTCAGGTTACTCGCCATTGCCAGTCAGTTCATGAGGAGAAAAAGGCAGTCACGCAGTGTGCTGGTTAGCTTTATTACGAGAGGTGATTCATGATAGCCGAGAGAGGGACCGCACCCTCCGCCTCTCCAATGCTTTGTCTAAAGGATTTGGACACGCTTTGTTTTCGTGTGCAATTAGTTAGCTGTGAATAAGACTCTTGGTTTTGCGTCCACTAGAGAGCTGTTCGTGTGTGGTGTTACAATTAGCCACTCATCTACATATGTGGCGCTATATAATTAGTGTAAGCGGGCAACAGTCGCGCGCAGAGAGCAATGGCAGCGGCAGCGTACGTTGGACGTTAGATTTCGACGGAATTTACAGAAACTCAGCAATAATAGGTCAAGAGCACGTAGGCCTTATGCTATAGAAACATGAAAGGAAGTTGGTAGTAAATAGATTTTTCGTATTTTACGTTAAGCATTATATTTTATTTTATTTAGTAGAGTACTAGTAACACTAACAGGAGTCGTCCTATTAATATTAGTAACATACTGTAGGGATTTCGGATATGCGGACTTGCTGCCTAGCTAATAAACTGGGCTAGGTAACCGTGTATAAATCAAAGCTAATAACGACAAGGATATATATTTACAACTACCGCATGGGCGGGCCATCTGTATATCTGCGGGCACTAGTCAGAGATTATAACCGATGGGAAATTATAGCAGGGCAATAGATGCTTACGAATCATTTAGTTTCATATCTAATAAAATTCTATAACGCACATTATATAAAGCAATAGCAACGGCGCTTCAATAAAATAAGGAGCATCAAGCAATAGCCAATTACAAAAATGCCAAAGATGACCACAGTCAGGCCTATTATTTACTTTACGGTCTCACGTGAGCCGCCACGGCGGAGCACGAATTATAAAGTTAGTACCAGCACCTAGTATAAATACGGGTCTGGCTGACCACGGTGTATAGGCACTCATCTGCGAAGAGCACCGGTAACGGAAGCCACTAGCTGATAAGAGCGTCGGAGCCGCGTCCCGACAGAACATAGGCTGACACGGTGAGTCACGACAGCCTGGCCCAGACGCTCCGCATGTCGGAGAACCTGGCCATACGCTGCCTTGACCACGACATATTTGACGGGAGTTTAGCCTGCACCGCTTGTCGGACGCAACCTCTCTTACCGGACATAGATCTAGCAATTTACAGTCAGTATGAGCTTTTATGGCACGCTCTCAAAGTGCCTGGGATTGCATTGAAAATATATTCACCCAGCGCTACGTCTCTATGTACATGCCACCTGCACGTTGACTTGTGCAATTAATGTTTGGCGCTCGTCAGAACACAGTTAAACGTCCAGTACTGTGGAGTGTTCCTTGCTTTGATCACGTCGCATAACATAACGGAGCACGCCGACGTACACACACGGAAGCACGACACTCTCGCCGTAGTCAACACCAGTACGTTCCTCGGCCCCTTCCTAGGGGTTGGCGGAGAATATCCAGGAAACAAATCAATACCCTGCGCGGCGCTACGCGCCAGGAAATGCCTGTTGATTACCCCTAGATCACTACAGCATTTTCGCGGGGCTCGTCCGGGATTCTCTCGCAAGAGGAACAGACTACAAGAGAGCATGGGAACTCTATGGAAGTACGTCAGCTCGTTCTTTACGGCACGAACGCGTGAAGACGTGGAACGGGAGGAAGAAGCAAGGACAAGGAGAAATACGGCTTCCCCAAGAAACATAAACTGGGAGACAGAACGGAGACCAGAGGAATCCACAGGGGCTAGGAGGAAGCTAAGGAAATTAGGAGATAGACCCGGGCTGTATCAGCCTAGGGGCAGGGCGGCAGCTACCACAAAGGATTCACCGCCAGGAATTTCTCCTTTCCCTGAAAAGGGGATGGATCTCTCATTTTCCTCGGCACCTACGCAAAAGGAGTCAAGGTTAGAGGAATTGAGAGAAGAGGAAGGCGAAAATACAGTGAGATGGACGAAGAGTAGGAGCACAGACATGGAGGAAGAGGCAGCAGGAGTTAGAAACCAGTTGGACGGGTTTAAGCAAACACGGAGGACGCAGCTCATTGTCTACCAGCTGGCCAGGCGTAACCAGCTGGCCAGCCACGAAAGAAAGCACACCAGGAGCTGCAGGAAAAACCGGTTTTGGACGCCGGGGGACATCTACCCCATGGTCCATGAGGGGCAGCACAGCACCGAAAAGAATGGGAGGAGGAGAATTATAAATTACATGAAGAAAGGTCAGAACCAACAAGGCAGGACTATTATCTAGGAAGAGGGGACCTAGCAGGAGAGAAGGATGACGGACCAAGCTTTGGGAGTCAGGATCGAACAGGATATGGCAGGAGAACCAAAGAGAAAAATCCACCAACATTCGCACAGGGAGACAGCATAGCGTTCCAACAGTTTCAGACTAAGTTTGATGTTTGAATTAGTCGCAAGGTATAATAACTGGCCGGACCAGGAGTGGGGAGTTCAATTATGCCTAAGTTTAGAAGGTGAGGCTCTGGAAACTGTAATGACCGACACCGCTAGAGGACGGCTAGAATATGGATTCCTCATCGGCCTCATGAAAAAACAGACTTGACCGCGAGCATGTATGGAGGGCCATGATACACGAACGTGATATGCGGAGTCAGAAGAAGTAGACGATATGGGAAAGTCCTGAGGACTACGGGGCCGTGATAAAAAAGTTGTTCGAGAAATCATACCCGGAAATTGTTCAGGAGGGATGCGCAAGCTTTCTGGTAGACAAATATCTAGAGGGACTTGAGGATGCAGAGATACGTCGCTATGTGAGTTTGAGAGAACCTACCTCATTGGAAGAGCAGCTGGCAAGGCGTTAGCACAGTATGACGAACCAATCCAACAAAGGAAGCTCGGGCTATCAGCGAAACCACCTATGGCAGCGAATACATGCAGGTACGGAAGGAGCTCAGAAACGAAAATTCCACGACGGGGACCAGGAAAACCATCAAACAATGGCTGAAGAAATAAGACAACTAGCGCAAGAGATACGAGATACCAGGAAGGAACTGAGGTCAATTAAGGCAAAGAAGGGATAAAGAAACTCACTGCAGAGAATAGTCACCCAGGAGAGGGGGAGAGATTCAATCAAGGGCAGAGAAACCTAATGATCTGCTACTTTTGTCAGCAACCGGGACACATGGCTCGAAATTGCAGGGAACGAACAAAAGTCTGGCGGGAGCAAAGTAAGCCGACGAATGAGGGAGGACAGGAAAGCGAGTACACGAGGAGGACGCCTTGTACCTCATCAAACTAAAAGGACTGAGCATACGGTCGATGATTCGGTCCGCCCAAAGGAAAAGGCCAAGGATGTAAAGGAAGCTTAAGGGACGGCGAAAAGAAAAGGGAGACAACCTGATACAAGGGGAAAGAAGTCAAGCATTGATTGCTGGCGAGTACGAGCAACAGTGGGAGGAGAGGAGACGGAATTTACTATTGACACAGGATCGAGTGTGACCATAATAGGGGAACACATCTTTAAGAGGATAAGGGAAGATTAGCACATAAGTCAGAAAGAGCGAGAGGAAATTGCAGTTAGCGGACGGGGAAGGGAATTAATCAATGCAGGAGAAATTCTCGTACCTATCACGATAGGGAGCCGGACCTACGACTGGAACATGGTTATAGCTGCGACAGGAGGAACACCAGGATTGTTAGGGAACAGATTTCTTACAAGCACACAGCTGCAAGTTCGATATAGAAAGGGAATCCTTCAACTCAGCAACCAGTCTGTGAGATGTACGAATGAGGAAAAGGAGGAGAACATGGTTCAACACAGCAGAGAAATACCACAACGAGTTCGAAGAGAACCAAGGTGGAGTAGATGGCTCATAGAGAAGCCAACTAAAGTTGTTGAGAGTACGTGCAAGGACCTAGGAGGATCCTGTGCGCAGGCAAGAATAGGAAAGATAGGAACGAAAGAGGAGGACGAGGTTACTCCCTTGCGAATAGGGAAAGCAGGGGAAGAAGCCCTGAGGATAGAGAAGGAAGATGAGGTTACTCCCTTGCGAATAGGGAAGGCAGGAGAAGAAGCCCTGAAGATGAAGAAGGAACAGGAGAGTGCAAAATGGCAGCCTGTTTACGAGATAGAAGTACACGACATCGAGAAAGGTCCAGAAGACAGCATCCCAAGAAAGGATCCGAAGGAGCTGCCAGAGCATCTACACTTGCTAATGGAGGGCGTGGACGACGGTCTTACGTACCCGCAAAGAAAGCGATTGGCAGGGCTCCTAAATGAGTTCCAGGATATCTTCATAGGACCCAACCAGGGACTAGGGAAGACGGACATTGTGAGACACTCCATTGAGACGGGAAACGTGGCACCAATTAAACAAGCGCCACGCAGGTTACCTATGCACCGACAGGCACAAGCTAAAGCAGAACTCTCTGAAATGCTGCGAACCGGGATTATTGAACCCAGCGATAGTCCATGGGCCTCGCCAATTGTTTTGGTTACGAAGAAAGACGGGAACGTACGCTTCTGCATAGATTATCGCAAACTAAACAAGGTAACAAGAAAGGATGCCTACCCTCTCCCAAAGATTGATGAAATGTTCGACGCTCTGAGAGGGGGCAACCCACTTCAGTACATTGGATCTGGCGTCAGGATTCTGGCAAATACAGATGGAACCATCATCGAAGGAGAAGACAGCTTTCGTAACACGAGAGGGATTATTCCAATTCACAGTTCTCCCTTTCGGATTAGTCAATAGTCCAGCGACATTCGAGAGAGCAATGGAGTTGATACTTAAAGGGATACAATGGAAGCAAGGTCTGGTTTACATCGATGACATTATTATATTTGGCACTACCTTTAGAGAAAGTTTAGATAATCTTCAGGAGGTTTTCAAGCGATTAAGAGCCGCCAATCTAAAGTTGAAACCCTCGAAGTGTGAGCTGTTTAAAACACAAGTCAACTTCCTGGGGCACGTCGTCTCGGCAGAAGGGATACAGAGTGACTCAAAGAAGATAGCAGTAGTCCAGGGCTGGAGCACACCGACAACCATAAAGGAAGCCAGAAGCTTCTTGGGATTTGCCTCTTATTACAGACGATACATTCCACATTTCGCCACCATCGCCGAACCCATATCAGCCTTAACTAGGAAAAATGCCACATTCAAGTGGAACGGCGATGCACAAGCGGCATTTGAACAACTGAAACAGGCACTAACAACGACACCTATCCTCACCTACCCGACCGAAGAGAGTGAGTTCATCCTCGACACAGATGCGAGCAACACGGGAATTGGAGCTGTGCTCTCTCAAATACAGCAAGGAGAGGAGAAAGTGATAATGTATGCCAGCCATATGCTTAGTTCGTCCCAGAGGCACTACTGTACTACCAAGAAGGAACTGCTAGCAGTAATTACATTCGTAAAACACTTTCACCACTACCTGTGGGGAAGACCCTTTCTCATCAGGACTGATCATGCATCTCTCACGTGGTTGACCAATTTTAAGAATCCTGAAGGTATGATAGCACGATGGATATTAATCCTGGAGACATATGACTACCGGATTCAACATAGGCCAGGAAAACAACATCAAAATGCGGATGCCCTATCGCGTCTAACCATCGCTGGGTGCTCAAGAGAATCTTGTCCAGATGAACGGCACGAGCAACACCACTTGGGCAATGGAGGAAACTCAACGGCATCCAGGAGAGAGCCGGAACCGGAAATAATCCTACCTGCAAGCGTTAACCAAATACAGGATGAAGTGGAAGCAGTGAGCCTAGAAAACCTAGAGGAAGCTCAAAGGACAGATAGGATACTCGGACCTATCAGGGAAAAATTGGAGAACGAAGAATCTCCTGCAAGCCTTGAAGATGCAATCATCATTGACCCGGAAACAAGAAACTATATATCTCAGTGGAACCAACTCGAGATACGGAATAATCTTGTCTGCCGACGGTATGAGCCCTCTGCGACACCAGGTTTTCCTAATTTTCAAGTCATTATCCCATCCAAACTGAGAAAAGAAGTCTTTACTCAATTACACTCCCACCGAATGGCGGGGCACCAAGGTATTCGTAGAAGCCTAGGTAATGTACAACAAAGGTATTACTGGCCTGGACACACGGCCGACATCAAGCGTTGGTGCCGACAATGCGGTAACTGTGCCAGACGAAAACCAGGAAGAGGACCCCGACACGGCCCTCTGCAACAAACCCTAACCGGGGCACCGGGAGAGAGGATTGCAATTGACATCATGGGACCGTTGGAGGAAACGAACAATGGAAATAGATTCATCATGGTGGTGTGTGACTATTTCAGCAAGTGGACAGAGGCATATGCTCTCCCAAATCACGAAGCATACACCGTAGCAGACGCACTGGTGACCCAGTACATATGCAGGTTCGGAGTACCTCGGAAAATTCACACTGACCAGGGGAGAGAGTTTGAGTCCCACCTTTTTCAAGGACTCTGCAGGCTGCTACAGATAGATAAGACCAGAACCACACCATACCACCCTCAATCAGATGGACTGGTGGAGAGATTTAATCGCACTCTACAGAACATGCTGTCGCTATTTGTCAATGAGGCTCGTAACGATTGGGACGAACACCTCCCGTACGTCCTGATGGCATATAGGGCGACTACTCATGCTTCCACTGGATGTTCACCATACTTGTTGCTATTCGGAAGAGAGATCCAGCTTCCTATCGACCTCATAGCAGGAGCTCCCCCAACAGCGACACCCCACACCTGTCCTCACGAATATATAGAATGGACCAGAGGAGTATTGGCGGAAGCATACGAATTTACAAGGAAGGCATTAAAACAAGCGGCTGTACGACAGAAAAGGACATATGATAGACATCTCCAACCAATTTCGCTACAAGTCGGTGACTGGGTTTGGTACTGGTACCCACCTGGGATTCGCAAGAAGATGGGCCTGGGTTGGAAAGGGCCATTCTTGATCACTCGGAAAATTAGCCAAGTACTAAGAGAGATACAGCAAACTCCACAGGGAAGGAAACAAACGGTCCACATTGATCATCTAAAAAGATATGAGGAGGAAAACCTCCCACTCACTTGGATTCACCCAGATCCTCCGGAGAACCAGGAGCTGGATGCAGCCGACGAAACAGTTACCAACGACCCAGGAGACCACGAAGCAGCACTTGAACCACAATTGGAAGCAGAGACAGGGGAGGAAGAGCCAGACGAGATACATCTTCCCCATCAACCATTGGACCCCCCGGACGCCTCAGAAGATTTATCTTATCAACTAAACACCAATCAATTCGACATAGGAGAAACTGAATCAGGAGCAGCTGAAAACCTACCTTTCTTCCCCCGGAGAGGAGAAAGAAGCAAAAAACCTCCCCAAAGAATGGACTTATGAGATAGTACGACGAAGAGACGACAACCATCCCGACCTCAGCAGAAGACCGGTGTACATAGATTGATAGATTTTATATAGATAGTAGTTTTATTGATAAAAGTATTCTCATTTTGTAAGAATTACCAGCTCAAACCGTTCATATAGCATTTTCCCGTTTGTTCATTGTTCATTTGCACGTGTGATATTTTCGTATGTTTTACATTTTTATGCAATATTGTTCAATTCGGGTTTTCAGAATTTGTGATAAGCGTTAAACGGGAAGTTTGTATCGAGCGTTAACCAAAGAGGGGAGTTTTGTTAAAAGGGCATGTCACCTCCGAATTCCATCTGAGGGCAGATGATTTGAGAAGGGGGGTGTGTAGTGATTTCGGATATCGGACTTGTGCCTAGCTAATAAACTGGCTAGGTAATGTGTATAAATCAAAGTAATAACGAAAGGATATATATTTACAACTACCGCCATGGGCGCGGCCATCTTATATCTGCGGGACTAGTCAGAGATTATAACCGAGGGAAATTATAGAGGGCAATAGATGCTACGAATCATTTAGTTTCATATCTATAAAATTCTAACGCAATTATATAAAGCAATAGCGGGTTCAATAAAATAAGATGCATAGCAATAGCCAATACAGAAATGCAAAGGCTGACCACAGGGTCAGCCTATTTACTTTACGGGTGAGCGCACCGGGCGCACGAATAT